AAATGTGATAGACTCGAGAGAACAAGAAAACTTCCCCTTCTGCAATGTGGATATCGAGTCGGCATAACACATATTGTTATATTGCAGCGGCACTGACCCGATCTGGAAAAAATGGCTGTTGTGGTTGGATAGCCCGACTCCTCTATCTTGTTCATTTGTAGGCAACTTCTTTGCTCATCCAAGTATAATATTGTCTAAAAAGAGGGTTGATCAATGGCATGTTATATGGGCTGCAATATTATGTTGAACCTGGAGAGCTAGGAACAAATGTGTGTTTGAAGGGGAGCACCTCGACAGGAACCGCTTACTGCAACAAATTGTGTTATACTCATGGTCTTGGCTTACCTGTTTAAATAATTCATTCAACTATTCATTAAGTCAATGGGAAGCTAATCCTGGACTGTGAATCATTTCCTAAGATCTTTGGTGGGGTTTTGAGGAGTCTTTATAGTAGTCTAGTATGCAAATAATAGGTTTTGGACCTTTTAGTTGGAGGCTAATTTGTAATTTAAATTAGGCTCAACTTCGTTATGTCCTCCGCATGTCAACCTGTATTTGAGTTTGGTATCTCTTGTACCATTTCATTATATAAATTATTTCTTTGCTGTTCAAAAAAAAAAAGTAATGCTAGGTTTGTTTCTCATGCAATCTAACCATACATTGTGATCTGAAGAGGGAAAGCAAACTAGAGATGACCGGAGAGGAACTTGGAGAGCATAATATTGAAGCTAGTATCAATCAAGGTAAGAGGGAAATGAGAACCTCACTCCAGGGTGTAGGGTAACTATATTGGGTAGCAGGGTTGGTCCCTAATTCATAGTATGTGTATGTATGTTGGAGAGAGATTACACCTGATCCTTTTTGTGAACCTGTATGAAATTGAATGTTTTGTTTATGATAGATGCGTATATTGATTTGTTGGTTATAAGAATTGTTTGTAATCATGAACCTATGAGTTCTTGTGGGTTCTTGGGGGAATCCTAAGAATGTATCTAAACCCTTAGGTTGGAGCTAATTCATAATTGTAAATTACATGACTAAATCGTGGATCAATAGACTATAAAAACCCCTTTAACAAATTAAAATCATAGAAATCGTAGAAGCCACATATTTGAAATAAAATCATGAATTATGTAGATTAAGTTTTACTAATATACTACGATGGGTGGCAACTTAGTCTCATTGGGCGCAAGTAAACTAGAATGCTCGACCTCGACCACATTAGGTTGGGACTTGGTCTCATCAGGTTTGAAAGTTCGAAATACTTGTGGTGTACGTTATTGACGTTAGGCATGAGACTAAGTTGCAAGCTGTCTAGTACAACATCATTATAGTTTTCAGTTATCTTCAAATTTCCAAACTTTGAATCTAAACTCCCATCCCCTTTCTCCAATGATTCACCAAAATAGATTTGTTCATCGATTCTACTTCCAACCATTGATCCCATCTGTTGACCATTTTGATCGTCCATTCCTTCTCCGTTGATCACCCTTTAGTGACAATTTTCACCATTCTGATGCGGTGGCCGGGCACTTGTAAGGGGCGTAGAATTTTGCACCGTTTCCTCCTCTTGTCCAGTAATGGCCGAGACATCTCATCGTTCGTGTATTCTGAACTCGACGTATACATTTCTATCCTGCTACCACTGTTGCATGAAGATTCCACTGTCAGCATTTGATGATTTTTCCACATCTAGCAATTGCACTGGCATTGGCATAGCCTCATATCCTCCTTAATCAAGATTTTGCGGACAGATCCATTAATCTTGATCTCACCACCCCAATACACTTTGTCCATCAAATTTGTCTTGATTAGAAAACGTGGTGCATCCAACCTTGACAAACTTTTGGTATCATCATCAACCTGCACTAAGGTACCCACCATAGCAGCAATTTGAGAAAAACCCTCTTCGATCCATACTTGTATGGGTATGCCATCACACCTGACCCAAACCAGCCTATTACCAGGCCACACTTCAGGTGACCATTTTTGGCACAAAGTGGAAGAGTTTTGCAAGCACGTCATCTGGATCAAGGAGTTTTTCACGTAACCTGTCTTCAGTCAACCTAGTAATGAGATCCATGTCGTCTCTAATGTGTCTCACCTTCACATCCTCTTCTTCATTCGGTATTGCTACGTCTTGGATTTTGTCATATTGAATTATGTTTCATGCTTTCTGTTTTAGGAATTTTAATTTACTTTCCTTAAGACATACTTTCCTTAAAGTTGTAATAGCTAGGCATTGGTTCACTTTAATTGAATATTGAATGTGATATTTTTTACCTTTATTTGAAGTTATTCAAATATAACATTTTCTTTTTATAATTATTATATATACATATGGGTAAAGGGTATTACATTTTCCATCAATAACACATTACCTAAAACCACGCTAATGGTTTAGGATTTTACCTTCGTAGCGTGTTTTATACATTTCGGAGAGTCTTTTATATGATTGTAGGATAAACACATTCTTCCCTTTATGATCACCAAGCATCAAAGGGGACGGTGCCTCTACATAACCCATGCAAACAATATTGTAGATGACAGAGTTTGGGTGCTAGCTAGGGGTGGACATGGTTAGGGTTTTGTCCCTCTTGCAAACTCGATCTCACAGACTCTTTGTTTCTCGCTCTCTAAAAAAGATATGCTTAAGTATGATTGGGTTAACCTATCTATTAATAAGCTATCATTGACCTAATAAGATAAGATATACAAATTTATGATAATCTTTTATCTTTAACACCCCTAGCTCCTCAAAGGAGTGGGTGATTCAATCACCCTAAGTTTGTCACATAGCAAATTGAATCTTAAGTGAGTTGGTGCCTAATATGGTTTTGTAGAACTTGATCTCTAATAAAGTGAACGTCAACCTTTATGTGTTTTATCCTATCATGCATCAAATGATTGGAGGTTGGTGCCTTTGCACTCAAATTATCACATCAAAGGATTGGTTTCCTTGGCATGGGTAATTTTAGCTCTATTAAGTCAAAAGACGATCTTAGATCCCTCATATTTTATAAGTTTAATGATAACAAACACTACATATTTTAGTTAGAAAATGCATTGTAAAAGTCATTCTTTCAGATTGTGTAAGATGAAGTAGCATTTATAAGACGAAGCTAATTAGACGAACATACAAGCTATTTATAATGATAATTATTTATTGTGCTTGACGAGTTTAAATGTTCAAATGAATGTTTTATACTTTAATAGATTGAAAGTTGTTTTCTTAAAACTCACATTCTTTTAAAAGTGTATAAAAAAATGAAGAGTAGAAGAACAAATGATAAAGATCCTAGATTTCACGGAAAAGACACTGCAAAAGTCTGTATTCTCACCTGTACGCTGACTTTGCTTCCTGTTGTTCTCCTTTTGCTACTCTTCTTTGATAAGTAGCTTGATCTATCAAAGATAAGGAGTACGTTTAGATGAAATACATGACATTAATTGAAGCATTTAATGCACCAACGGATATTTCCACTCTTTAAAGATCAAACGAGGGAGTAAATCGAAGCAGTTCTATGAATCAAATTCAAGAAGCTATGATGGTCACCTCTTTCAAAGTTACTATATAAAAAGCACTAGAAATCAAGAAAAGAAGAATTGAAAAAGCACAATAGAGAATAAAAGTGAGTATAGGAAAACTCTAAGATACAATACACATCTCTTAGAATATCTTCTTCAAGAGCTTTCTTATACTAAAATGATTTGTTGAAATCATGTCTAAAAGAGCCTGGAGAGGCTTGTTTGTAAAAGAAAATTTGGGGTTGAGTTTGGAGAGGCTTGTCTCTAAAAGAATACTTGGGTAGTGGCTTGAAGAAGTCAGTTAAAGAACACTTGTTTGAGCCATAAGTTGCTTGGTAAAAAGAATACTTATAACTTTGTTGAAAGTTAATGGAACTCAATCTGCCTAGATTGAGAATTGGATGTAGCCTTGGTGGTTGAGGTGAACTAGTATAAAAATAATATTTTTAGATTACTTTTACCGACCCTTCATCTATTACAGATACTACTTCATGTACTTGAAAACTTGCCAATTTTTAATATACATTATTCAACCCTTTTTCTAGTGTCTATCTTTTCTTCACAAGCTCTTTCAATAATGACTTAATCCATTTAACCTCAGCTGTTAAGTCTGGAAGTGCCTTTAATTGATATTGAAACTACCCTTTTCTTTCTTAATGACTACGCAATGAGGGATTCTTCGAGAAACAATGCCCTACCATTGGCTTCCTATCATCTACACTTATTGCTGAATGATTATTTTATTAGTGCTTGCTTAAGGCCATAGATAGCCTTGGTGAGTTTGTGCACATGATGAGACTTCTTAGGATTTACAAATCCTTCTAGTTGATGTGTGAAATTTGTTTCTTTTAGATAACCATTTAGGAACACTACAATAAATGAGCTAAACAGTGGAGGTTATTTTTACGTTTAGTGGAGGTTTTTACCCTCCGCAAAATAAATCGCAGAGGTTTCTAAAAACCTCCGCAGTTACATTCGCCACAAACAATTAGCGGCGTTTTTTAGAAACCTCTGGTATTGTGAGTGTTTAGCGGAGGTTTTTTTAGAGGCAGTTTTAAACCTACACTAATAGTGGAGGTTTTTTAAAGGAGGTTTTAAAACTACACTAACTGCAGAGGTTTTTTAAAGGAGGTTTTAAAACTACACTAACTGCAGAGGTTTTTTAAAGGAGGTTTTAAAGCTATGCTAATTGCAGAGGTTTTTTAAAGGAGGTTTTAAAACTATGCTAACTGCAGAAGTTTTTTTACTGGAGGCTTTGAAGTGGAATAATAGTAACGATTATTTAGTGGAGGTTTTAAAGTAAATTAACTATTACATTCATTAATCAATATATTTTTGTGGAGTTTCTAATCCTCCCTATTTTCCTGTGTATATTTTATACTCATTTTAATTGCATAATCTACATGTATTACAATTTCCCATTTTCACTTTTGATATTTATAAGAAACTTAATGAAAAAAAAACACATAAAATGGATGAAGAAATTCCATTACTAATAACCAAAAACACAACATATAGTTCAAAGATTTATAATTCAAACTTCTATTATAAATCCAAGTACAACATAAAATCCATAACATTGTCAAATTAGCCTCATACTAAACTTTAATTCCAAAATACATTATATGCAAACTAAGGGTTGCTAGCACCAGATGATCCTCTTGCATCCAAAGGTGTATTAGGACCACTTGAAGCATCGTTTGGCTGAAATAAGAAAAGAAAAAATACTCAGTCAAAAAAAAAAATATATATCACAAATATTATATGATAATGACAATTCCAAACACCTATGACTATATTATTAGCTAAGGACCAAAACAGACCAACCAGTTAATATATAACTAGCAACATAACCCATAGTTAAAACTAGAACTACATACCAACAACTCCATGAAGCCAAAACCATAATAGCAACACCAAACCAGAGATGTGTAGCAGCCAACTAGTTCCCAACCCAATAACGAAGGATTGAGAGTAGTCCATTCAGAGTCTAAACAACCAAAACTAGAACTGAACCAACAAAACATCCAGCCAATCCAAAAATTGCAATAGAAATCATATTGCAAACCATGCAGCCAAATATTATAAACCAACAAAGCAACCAACCAAACCAGAAATTGCAGTAGCAATCATGCAACAAACCATGCATCCAAAGACCATGAATCAACAAAACAACCATTCTAACCAGAAACTATAGCAGAATCATGATATAAACCTTGCAACTAAAGAGTATGAACCAACAAAAAAGCCACCAATACCAAAAATTGCAGTAGAATCATGCTACAAACCATGTAGATAAAGATACCACACATTAGATAATAATGTATCCACATTAATTACTTACATGTGTTTCAGGAGTGAAATAACTAGCTAATTCTTCAGGGATCCTTCCTTCCTTCATTATCATGTAGGCCTTAAAAGCTGATTCTAAATTGTTGTATTTCTCTTGCCATTGGTTTAAAGATGGAAAGGCAACACCAGATGAAGAGGAGCTCAAGCTAGAAACGCGAAGTCTTGTATTCCTAAATGTATTAGAAGAAACAGCACCCAATCCCATGCATCGTACTCTCCCGGAGTGCTCTGGCCCTAACACTCTACCAACAACATCTAGAGGAGAAACTTCTGATTCATCAACTATGCTTTGAGTCAAACCTACTTCGATTTGTTCCTACAAACATGTAATAAAATCAAATATAATTTTTTTTTAAGATTAAACACAATCCTTGAAATGTGTAAATGATGATATCAAGTGAGATCATAGATGCACTTGTGTGCATGTTAGATTATAAATTATTATATTATTTAAATAAATAAAAAAGTGTAAAAATATACAAGGGTTTTGGTAAGCAAATATCCTTCTTAACATGATACATACCAAAATGTTTTTAAAAATAGGGTAAAATAATGAGTTTTAATACGCAAAATGTTATTATTTTTTAGAATTTAAAATTAAAATTCTTAATTTTTTATGTTTGATTTATCACATATATAATATATTTTATAAGAAATATAGTTTCTTAACACAGATAGTGCGTGAAAAATATTTCATTCAACAAATCTTATCAGAATCACTACTTTTTACTATACTACATTATAAATTTATAAGGCTATAAATCAATGATTTCTTTCAGAATTGTGATTTGTTCATTACTAGAGGGGGTTCTCTCTGTATATCTATTTAAGGTCCTATTGGTGAGTTATAATTAATGGATCAATGTATTGACTTATTTTATTTGGACCCAAAATTCTCTAAAGAGCTAGATATCTCAAACAATTAAGTTCTGGGACAAAATATGCTAAGAACCTCTTTAATTTCCTCTCACCAAATTCAGATTTTGGCATTGTCCGAAGCATCACGATGGCAGCACTGGTAATTAACAGATGGCAGCACTGGTAATTAACAGATGGCAGCTCCATCACACGTGCACACGTGGGATTTGGGCACGTTATAGTGACTAGAACATTTGCATTATTTTTAACAAAAGCACATTGTTGACGAGCATATATCTCATCAAGCTTGATCTTATAGTACTCATCGAAGGCCACGTCAAACCCTTCTTTTTGAAGTATTTTCTCTTTCTAGGAATCAAACTCGGCCAAAGTTTAAAATATGCTAACACACGATTCAGTTCTGGGATAAAATCTGAATCTTGTTCTTGGAAAAACAAGGATTCTAGAGAGTTGTTTGACTCGGTTGATTGGGGTTCTCTCTTACAAGGTCTTTCTTCATCCTCCTACTCTTTCATTCTTATTCCTGTTGTAAGTGTGCCTGTTCATACACTTCTTCTTTGTCCAAGCTTTCTTTTTATTTATTTGTTTATTTTTGCATGTCACTGAAATTTGAAAATTTCTGTTTATTTTCAAGTTTTGGTTTCAATTTTTTTTTAGTTCATGTTTCTCGTCTTTGGTGTTTTACATGACAATTGAATTTTGGGTAAAGAAGAATGACATACACAGATTAATGCTGTGTGTATGTTTTTGTGTTAGCCTAGACAATTAATTGATTATGTTTTCTTGTGGGTTTAGTGCATTATTTAGCGGGGAAATCAACAAGTTGGGAGAGGAAAATAACTAATAATTTAACTTAATCACCATCATCTAACTAACCAAACTCAACCAATGAGCCATGTGATAGTACCTCCCAGCTGGAGGATGTGTTTCTAGCATTGCAACTTTGGATGAACAATATATATATATTAATATATATTAATAAAACAAAAAACAGTAACTGCAAAATACAACTATTTATGCTGTAATTGGAATTGGCTAGAATTAGCGTAAGTGAAAAATAATTGAGTTTTAATTTAAAATGATTTTCACACTAACCTCTATCAAAGGATCCACTTGTGGCCTTCTTTTTTACAAGATCTGGTATCTCTGTAGAACAAAAGAAAATGTTTAAAAAATAAACAATGATCTGAGGTAAAATTGCATCAATGGTAAAAATGCAAGGCATTCTAATTAACAAAATTAGCAAGGCATGGTGCACAGAGAATAATGAAAGCAAGTGACCAAAAGAGGGAAACAAATTAAGAGAGAAAAATTCCCAATGATTGACATGAGAATTTTACCATGGTCCATCATGTCTCTCTCATCAATTTCAGGAAAGAAAAACGGTTTAAAAGGAGAAATAAGTGTTGGAGAAGAGATACTCTCTCTATTCTTTCTTTATTCCTCCGCCACACTCAAGTGAAAGGACTCATTCAACCACTTCTCCAATAGCATATTGTTTCTTCTTGCATGTGAGTGGTCACATCTGTTCCTTCGTAAAGAGTTAAAAATTTTAATGTTTTGAGTGGTGTAAAGAAACGGATCAGAATCTGGTTTCTTGGTCTTTTTCAAGTTTGGCAGATTGTGGCTTATTTTTTCCCTTCTCTCCTTACTATCTCCTATCTCCTATCTCCTATCTTGATAAGGATCCCACCGTGGACAATGATCATTCCTACCTATACTTGCATCACCAATCTAACAGGAACCAGCAGTAAGGTATTCATTTTTTTTTCCTTCATCCAATTGTAGAAATACATGTCTAAACTATTTAAAGCTCATACGAAAGTGGGGTACTATGATAGAAGAAAACACAGCATATGCTGATGTTAATGCTTTTACTATGATGCAGCATTCAAGGCTTGAATCAACACATGTGAAATTGTTTTAACTTAACTGTAAATTTTGAGTTTAAATCTTTGATATATAATTGTATTAAATATTCTAAAAAAACCTTTACTATCAGTACTGATCTTATTCAACTAGGAGGTTTGTTTCTAGATAACCACATAAAAATCACTAATACCAACATAACCAAATGAAATAAGAAAATATCATAATGTCATTTTTCTCATGTACTTAAGAAACTTTAATTTTAAATGTTGTAAACTAAACTAGAAAGTAGGCACCATAATAAAAGAATCTAACAGATAACGTGGAAGTGGCTTCATGTCCATCTTTAAGCCAAAAAACATTCATTGCATCTACTATTTGCTTCAGGCTAAAGCGGGGAAGATCCCATGAACACAGGGAGACGGACGCCATGCATTGGGTTGTGCCATAGAAGGAGGATGGAAAGACATCCTTCTTCTATATATTGATGTACATTAGAGCATTGCTTAAGTCAATTGAATCAGTACAGGTTATTCAAGTAAAAACAGGGGTAGAGGATGAAATTAAAATAAAGACTTACTTATTCTCAAGATTTTTCACTTTCTTCCCATGCCTTCACATTAGACAACCTTTTCTCTTTCTCTATTTCAGCAAGAGCAATATCTATACACCATAGAAATATATCAGTCATTTGATATGAAAAATAGAGTTTTCTTAACACAAATCACCATGAGTACATATTCATGTTAAAAAAGAAAAATATAGTTAAGTGTCAGCTAGAAATCCATGAATGTACATTTGCAATGTGTCTAGAGACTAGATGGTGCATTTCAAATTGACTAATTTAAGTATTATGAAACAAAAAGCTCAAAATATTAAGTGTAAATATTTTGATCAAGATCAAATATTAACAAGACAATGTAAACTGAACTATGAGATAAGTTTAACACTAATCTCTATCAAGGGATCCACCTGTGGCCTTCTTTTTTACAGGATCTGGTATCTCTGTAGAATAAAAGAAAATGGTTAAAAAATAAACAATGATCTCAGAGGTAAAATTGCATCAATGGTAAAAATGCAGGCTAGCTTTCATTGTCAAATTCTAAGAATGGAAAATCAAAAGAATCCCATAAAAATAAATCTTTGAAGAAAGAAAAAAGTATAACAGATTGAACATTACTAAAGTGATAACAGAAAAGAAAAAAGTATAAAAGAAAAGAAAAAAAAAACCAATACTAAAGTGCAAAAACCAAGAGCCATAGGTCTTTTTCTTTTCATTTCCCAACTTCTCAGAAACTAATGAAGATTCACAAAAATCACACTCAACACTCTACAGTAGTAACCAAAACCAGACATATGCTGGATGTTTTATATTCTCCAGGAAACCAAACAGCAATTAAAAAAGCACAAAGTAGTACATCAAGAAAATAGTAACTCAAGTAAAAACAGTAACCCCAAAATACAACTATTGGGGCAGCAGTACGAAATGCAACAGCAGTAGAAGAACTGGGCACCCAACTCAGTAGTACAACAAGGGCCCCACAAGCTTTTCCAATTTGCACAGCAGCAAGGCCCACACTTCTAGCAGCACCCAAAACCAGCAACACCTGCAACACAATTCCACAACAGAAATTGACATTATACATTCAAATAGAAACTGACTTTACTTAACAGTTTATAATTTACATAGGATTTTAACGATTTATATATTAGATTAATATTTTTTATTAAATAGATCAAATTTAAACAAGCAGAAAATGCTTGGACAAAGTATCTGACATGAAGAGCATGTTATCTTTTATATCTTGGCAATCTCGAAATATTTACAATTACTATAGTTTCTAAATTGTTGCTAAAATAGCCAAATAATTAAGTTCTCAAATACTATAACAACCTTGTGAAACTTAAAAAAGTATTAAAATAAAGTACAAATTATTCTTAATCCACAAACCCTGTGGATAATTCAGAAATCATGTCAATTTACAAGATCTTTAACCTAGCTCTTACAATTCAATTGCAACAAAATGACATATATATCTTTCCTTTTGTTTTCTTCCACAAAACTATGATCAAGATCAAAATTTGTGACATTCATATGATCTTCTTGGGAACAATTGTTGTCAATTATTGTCATGGCCATGCGCGAGAAAACTTGAACACACAGGGCATGGTGGATCACGCAGTTCTTCAAATTTAGTTCTCTTCTCCAAACAATTTGCATGATAAACATGACCACATACTAAAAATGCCACAACTAAAAGCTCCCAGCAAGACATTGAACTCCCCATAAACAAGAAGAGAATCAAATTCAAAGTACAGATACACACCTGACCTCGGCGAAGGTACCTTGGCCGGCGAAGGCGCAAACGGGGACCAACGGCGTCGACGATGCTGGAAAAGTCGGAGCCGAGAATGAATGGCACTCAAACGTCGTTTAGGGTTTCTAATTTCACAAAAGAGAATTATGATGAGAGGTGTGTTGCGCGCGAGTTTAAGAGAGAAAAATGTAGGTTTTCTAATTTCACAAAAGAGAATTTTGTGTTGCGCGCGGGTTTAAGAGAGAAAAATGATATATAAGCGGGAAAATATTATTTAATTAGAAGAGGTTAAAAACCTCCGTAAATTAACTAAAAAAATTGCAGTATTTTCACCTCATTTAATTATTTAAGGAGATTTTTAAAACCTCTGCAAAATAACCTTTATTATTTAACATTTTTTTTGTAGTGGAAGTGTTGTAAATGTACATTTGTCGTACTTCCCAAATGAAATGTACAACTATAGCTAAAAAGATCCTTATTATGATAGCTTTAATTACAGGGTAGAAAGTGTTAGAAAAGAATGGTTCAATCCAAGAGGGAGGTGAATTGGATTCTATGACACTTAAAAATTTTTCAGAGTTCTAAAGATCTTTATTTCAAGTTAAACTTTTCTAATATGAATTCTCAAAGAATTTCGTTGAAAGACTTGCCAATGGGAATGAGTCCTATATGATTTCTTGATTAATCTTGATTAAGTTCAATGTTAAGAACACTTAATATGAAACACTTTGGTTCAGTTTAAAGCAATGTTATGCATACAAACATATTAATCAAGATCATTCACTTTAACACTCAACCAAGATTTTGCTCAATGTAAAAGATAAGAGTGAGAGAGAAGAATGCACAAGTATTTTATCCTAGGTCATCCACTCCACATGTGACCTACATCCAGTCCTCAATCATAACCTGATCAAGATTTATTCCACTATCTTAATGAAGAAGTTTTACAAGCATACCACACATGCATATACTCCTACATTCAAGATAACCACTTTCTTGCCCCCAAGACAGCACTTGTAAAAACTCACTACAAGAATTCCTTACCACTTGAGACACCTACTCAAGATTTCCCTTACACATTACACAAAGAATTAAAGGAACAAATTCACCTGGAAGCTAAACAAATCAGACTGTGAATTCCAAAAGCAAATCTTAATCTTTCTCTCCCAAGAATGTAGTAATGATGATGATCTTTTTCAAAGCATTTCAGAAAATGTTTTTCTTCTTGGTTTCACAAAGAAAACACTCCAAGAAGGTCATAAAGACTTCACAATATAGTTTTCTCTCGTTGATTCTCAATTCGTTCTCTGTTTTGAAGTTTCAAAGTGTGAAAGCTATTTATAAAAATTTCAGAACCAGATAATCGATTATTTTAAGGAATAATCGATTATTTTGTTCTTCATGATTTCTGGAAATCACTCAAGAACAGAATAATCGGTTTTTTTGCAGGATAATGATTATTCCAGAGAGTGCTTCCTGGAATAATCGATTATTTCATAGATAATTGATTATTACAGCAAGGCTTTATTCACCTGTTGCTAGAATAATCGATTACACTTAATGATAATATGAACATGGGACTTTGCATCTGGCTTTCCATTTTTGTTCTTGCAAAAGTGTTTAGTGTTGTAGACCCGATACTTGAGACTGACCTAAGAATAGATAAATGATGTTTTCTCACTAAGATTTATGTTCCTAAGTTACACTCAGAACTCCTTAGTCTACAGAGATAAATACATTATTGTACATCTGACTCTATATGATCTGTCTCTGGTTTCATTGCTTCGTGGGCTTGATATCACTCTTTGCCAACCTTTCCAGGTTTGAAGTCATGACATATATATAGTCTTTTAAATTTTTTCTGTTGCAAGTGTCCGTTGAAGCAGGATGTAGTCGTTCATGACTAGTTTGATCTTTCATTTAATGCATTAGATCTTGCATTAAATATTTCTTCCTGTTTATAGAAATTGCGTGAAGTCTTCTACGTTTGTTACCTGCAGTGTTTGACTTTAGGTGAGACCTAGGAATTTTTTATCCTTTAAAGGTCATTTTAGTTGCAGAGGTGTTGTCTTTATCTAAAAAAGTAATGTACTTTTTCTGACACATGCATGCTTTTACTTTTGCGCTTGCTTTTCTTCTTTTTTCTTTTCTTCCTTTCATCACGCGATCATGTTAAAAGCTCTTGTATGGTCGTAGACGATGCCTAATTTTTCCCTTGAACTTGATTCTTCAAAGGCTTGCATGGCAGTCTTCGTCTGCGTCTGATAGTCCATGTGCATCTCAAGTCTTGATCTTCATCTGAACATTTGTCATTAATGCTTTGACTTTCTTTGGTCTAGTCAACATTGTATATGGACAGACTTTATTTTCATCTAAAATACTTTTTAGTCTGTGTTGTCCTTCATCTGATGTGTAGTTGACTTTCTTCTGATTCTTAACCAGCCTTCGTCTGAGTTCTTATATTGCGCTCTAGGTTTTGCTTGACACACCTACGTCTGATATTTGATTCATCATCGTCTGGCGCTCATGTCGTGTTTCATCTATCATTTGACTTTGCTTTGTCTGATCCTTGTGATGTGCTTTGCCTTGACTCATCTTCGTCTTGTACTTGAAGAAGTTTTGTCTATGGTTTGTATCGTTTGAAGCTTGATCATTTTCCTTTTTGTGCTAGGCTTGGCTTCGTTTGACCTTTTTGTCTACCTTCCTTTATCTTGGTTCTTGCTCTATTCTTCAACTTGCCTGTACTTATGTTTTTCTGAAACACTAACACACTTGTTATAAATAATAATATGTATTATATTTATCTCATTCAGAACCTTGCTGGGAATTGCTTCGTCTGACTTAACACCCACACCACCATTCAGTCAATAGGCCTAATTGGTCAGGCTGACTAGGCTGAACGGTCATACTTTGGACACCATCGACCTCAGGTTTTGCACCTGAAGACCAATCGACGTCATTACATTTTAGAGACTAGTGTACACGACGATTCGGCATCTTCGGCACCTGAAGACCGATCGACAACATTACATTTCAGAGACTAGTGTACCTTCAATCAAAAGGGAATGACCTAATGAGAGTTATAAACGTATTACCTAATTTGGTAACCCTAGTACGGGGCCCATTGAGAACAGGGCCCATTATTGTCAATATAAATATTCCATATCTCGAGGTAATGTCATTTTTCATTTATTACTATCGATATTAGCGCTTGTCTTGATTTGAGCGTTAGAGTACCTTTTGCAGGTACCCTCTCCCTCATCGGAATATTCGCTTGGAGCTCTCGTTCGGCCTTTAGATTACGAGAAAATTACTAGTGTGCCCTTTAGATAGGTACAGTACCAAACACCTTTCCTACACGTAACCGACCCCTGAACCCAATTCTGACTATGAAGGTCATTATTACAATTTTGAAAACCTTTTCTTTCTTTGATGTTTTGAGTAAAACATGGATGACAACTCCTTCAAACCTTTTTCTTTTTAAATCATTGGTAAGGGATTAGTTTGGTCTCCAAGCATTCCCTAACCGATGAGATTTTCAAACGGAAGTCCAAACCATCTATGAGCAAGATCAGAATTTTTTGCATTTCAACAGATAGTGACTCCACTGGGAAAACTTAAAAAGGGTCAAGCCTAATGAATGACAAATTTAGCAAAATAAAAATAATAATTTAAATATTTACCCGTTTTTATCTTCTTTGTAAATATTTGTTTTAGAGTGGCTTTAATATTTATTGTTTGTTTAAATTCTCGCACTTGTTTGAAATACACAACTGTACACAAACACTTACAGACAACATTTCACTTTATACCTGGGGCCATGAACATGTAAGCATAAGGAGTGGTTGACGTACTACCTGTCGCCACCGGCCCGAAACGGGGCTTTCGGCATTCGCGAAGGATGGTTGGACTCGTTTATTTGTTTAAAATATGGATTGCTAGAATGACTTATTCTCAAACTGAGACCTCATCAAACGAGCAATTTTATTAAAATGGTTCACCAATCCATGTTAATCCCAAGCGGGACCCTCCATGGATTAGTGGTTTTCGCAAAAGTATATCTTATTGTAAGGATAATTCTTAAAGAAAAAATGCTTGTAACTATAACAACTATATCTTGAAGATATCATCTTAATTTGTTAGTTTTAAAAGATATATGATACACCAATAGATAATAATAGATTCGATCGAGTTAAAAAGGAATAAGGGATAAAAAGATAAGCAAGACAAAACAACTATATAATAGGCATGCTAAGTAAGGATACATAGCTTTCAATTGATTACCCATTAAGAGTTTTTGGCAATATAGTCTTCTCTCTATTGATCGAAACATTTTGGTATCTATCGTGTACTTTGGTAAAACCTTTTTCTGATACCTTTCTTGTGAATTTCAAAAACTTGAGAGTCGAGCAAAATTGGTGAGAAATCAAGAAGACAATGGTGAAAATCCCACCATTGAGCAAATAATGGTAGTGATAGAGGACATGCATATAAAGAATGAGGGCATCAAGAAAGGGGCAATTAAGGCCAAACATAGGAATTAGGAGCAGAAGCATCATCGGAATGAAGTTGCTCAAGAGGCTATGCGAACACAATTAACCAACGTGAGACAATTGGAGAATGAGGTAATGGTTGATTAGTCACGTGATTGTCATCCCTTCTTGAAAGCAAATGAAAAGGAATTGAATCCTTTTCATTTTTTTGGTTTTGAAGGTGGAATTGTTTGATGGAGCTCAGGATCCTACTAGACATTAGAAAACATTTTGACCACAAGTTGATTAGTGGAGGGAATGATGCGCCACAGACAAATGACGTTTTATATAAAATTAAAAAAAGAGTTGTTACCACTTTATTTTTTTAGTTTCCCTCCTAAAAATAAATAAAGTTGCTTATTAAGTGAAATTGCTTCTCTTCCCAATCCTTACCGCTTCAAACTGCTCTTCTTCAAACCCTTCACTCTCACATTCTCTTCTTCAAACTGCTCATCCAGCCGCTTCGCCCTTCCTCCTCGCTGCCATTGGTTAGGCCGAACCGGACCGCCTCCCTCAAACCACCACTTCCAAGGTATTCAACTCAATCACCAACTTCCAAATTCTCATTCAAATTCAATTCACTTCGTCTTCGCGCGGTTGATTTGCGTGTTCAATTTAGGGTTCCAGCTTCTACGTCCGTCGGAAAATGTTGCCTACCTGAGTTCCCAGCCACTTCTTGGAATTGAGGTTAAGTTTTTAATTAAAGAAATAAGGTTTTGAATAGGGTTGTCTTACTGGTGCTGTCTTTACTGGTGCACGAGAATATTTTGAATTGGTTAGGAGTCATAGAATTACTGAAGGAAAAAAATTGAAAAACAAAAAGAGAAAAAGAGAGAGCAAGTGTTGTCTGCGTCTATGAATGCCCTGGATTCTTGATGTGATCTTGGATCTATTTTTGCGTTTGTAGGAATGATCAGATAACTTGAATGCATATTTTATTACCTTTGAGCTGGCATCGCCTGAAAAATTTCCTCAATGTTTCATTGGCTTTACTTCATTGTCTAGATACATGACTTTACTTCATTACTATCTAAATTTTTTGGATGTATTTGATACACAACATAATTGTGTTTGCTCCATGCAATTCAGAGGAAAAGAGAAACAATGCTGAACTTGAAGAAATTAATGGCTCTGTAACGGATTTTGCTGGTATTTTGAATGCTTGGTATTCATTTTTAACATGATAAAGAAGCAAGTAGTTGATATGATTTTTTTTTAACAAAACATAGTTCTTTAGATTATTGTAGTATTATTGAACTTTGGTTGGCCTAATGCTTTATTGTAGTACCAAATTATTTAATCACGGTTGATCTGTTTTTGGTTAATACGAAGGTTTGGCACAATAAACTTTGATATATTACACCGTCAAATCAAACTTATTTGTATACTTTTCTCTCTATTATATGTGCCACTTCCATACTTATTTGTTTTTATCATGGATCTTCATTCTACTATATTCCTTCGTCTCTCCTTTATTTAGTAGCATATTCACTTCATGATAATATTTTGTTATGGTTTACATTGCAAGTTTCTATTTGCCTGCATGGTGGGTCAATCAGTAAACCAGTTTTTTATTACATTGCAAGTTTTTTTTTAATTTTTCATTTTTCAATCTCTCTATTATGTTGCCGAAATTAATTTGTGCATTTTATACAGGTTAGTGATAGGTGTAAACATCAATTCCCATCTTGAGCATTTCCAAGCCAATTTTGTCGAAACTGGCCATGTCGATTTGAAAAAATTGTGAGTCCATTGCTCTGTTTTTTTTAATTCCTTGAAAATAAGATTTTCTCATTTTTCATGTTGATTCTTTTTAATATCTGATAATCATATTCATTTTATTGTGTGTGCAGTGAGTTTTCATCTTTGGTACGTAGCTTTTAAAACTACAAGTTTTTATTGTATTAGTGAAATATTCAATTTTTAGTAATATTGTAGGGATGAAAGCTTATGATTTTAGGAATTAAAGTCTAGATATTTGAAAATACAGGGAGGATAATTTATGGTTGTAAAAGTCAGAGGCTAAAGACACTCTTAATCCTTTATTAAATTAAAAATTAAAATTAAAAAATTAGATATAATGTGGAAAATACTTATATAGTAATTACATTATTAAGTAGTAAGTTTAGGATAAAGACCAGAGTTGTATTTGGATGATGGTGCATATCCTGAACAGGTAATATCATAGTTTTTATATTGTGCTTTAAGTAATTTCTTTATTTACCTCCTTTTTGATTAATATTTTGGTGAATTTACATTTAGGTTGACTGGATTGGATAGATAAATCAAATAGATGCTGGTGAGTGGTGAGTATCCATGTCTTACTCTCCATTAATCATAGATTGTAACACAAACTTTCATAATCTCACAATATTGAAATTACTTTTGTATATATATGAATAGCATAGGCTACCAGAGTGAAGGAGATTGTGTTGGTTGTCCCACTATAACATTTTTTGGGCAGCCACTCTGCACCACTATCTGTTATTGACTACTATGCTAGAAGCACATTACTTTGTTGTTAAAGTTTTAAGCGCAGTAAGGTTGTTATCTTATGATTCAATGATAAATTAAAATGGTTTCACTTGTGAAAATAAGTTTGAACATAAATCCAAACTCATAAAATTACACACACATTGGTATAACAAAAATGAAGAATGGGGATGGATAAATTATCTGTATGCTTTTGAGAACTATATACTACTAAGTTCTTTCAAACACTTTCATTTTTATCAGTTAAAAATTATTGAGATTCATAAAAGTATGTTTGTCAAAGTCTATTTAAATAGTCATCATTATTAATTACTTTATAAATTTTAACAAATAGAAAAAGAACATGTATTATTCTCGGAACGAGACGTATACGTATATCCTCGCAGCATTTTAGATGTCCCTCTCATATACGTGACATTTTCGCTGGTGGTAAGATCTTTACATAAAACAAGTAACCCCACCAATACCAAGTACCTATTTCCTTAATATTCTTAGCATATGTAATTGAATGTGAGAACATTATAAGTGACCAACTTGTGATATTGTTGCCAATTATTACATACCATACGAGAAGCAATTCCTATATCTTTTCTCTTATTTTCTAATTATAATAATTAAACCCCTATCATTTGTAGTTGAAGAAAGGCATCGCTCATATATAGGTTTATGTGTGCTAATTGTTGAGTCCATTTTAATTTATGACCCGTGGCTGTTATATAGGTTTAATTTTAATTTTAATTGTTATGTAGCCAAGACAGTTATCTATCATTGCTGATTTGTGATGTAGGCTTATTAATCGTATTTGTTATATATAAATTGAATTTTACAAAAGATTAATAATAGCTTATTAATCCTATTTCTTATTATTTTAATTTGTGAAATAAAAAATAAGAGTAATGAGACCAAATCGAAGTTAGATGTTAAGACGAAAAGAAATGATGGTGAATTTGTCTCAACTAGGGCAAATAAATTTATTGTATGTTATTTTATATTTTAAGATTGATTATGTACTTTTTTAACCTCTTACTATTTCACTTATTTTTTTTGTTTATTATTTGTAGGAAAAATATGAAGAATCAATGACACAAAAATATGGAGAAGACACTTCTTCTCATCCTGTAATTGATTCTGATCTTTGGTTAAAAGCTGCAGGTGAAAACAAGAAGAAAAGAGTGCATGGCATGGGACATAGCTTGGATCTTGGAACTAGTAGCTCTACCCAAGCTTCATCTCCAGAGGTTGCAGGTGCCTCTACAAATCTTACGCCTATGACAGAAGAACGGGTCACTGCAGTTATAAATAATGCATTGGCCTCAAAAGCGTACATGTACAGAATTAACCGCCCTTGATTGCTCTATAAATACAAGGAGTACGGACCTTTAAGGAGGTCGAAAAACTCATACTAGAATTGGACTCTGAAGCACTCTCTGCCTACACACACATATGGCTTTCGTGCACAAGATCGTTTTTGGGTATGACTGACTCTCGGCCACTTTTTTCTCTTTTTAGGAGTAGAAGTAGAATAGTCTTCTTGTTCGTTGTTTAATTACGTAGTGTATTCATGTACTTGGATCAATATGTTCGCATGTGTAACGTAATTTGATCATTGTACGAAATGAACTATGATTTGCATTGCTAACATATATATTGTTCACTATGTTCATATTATTATTTGCGTGCATGAGCCACTACAACATTTTTTATATTAGGCAACGAGTTTTTAGGCAACGCCTAAAAATGTGTTCTCGAAATATGGAATAGGCAACAATTTTGTAAATTGTTGCCATTTCGTTTGACAACAATTATAAAACCGTTCCTAAAAACACAGATAGACGAACATATTTGCGAGGGTTTAGCGAGGGACATATTTGCGTGGGATTAGCGAGGGATTTGCGAGGGACCTCAATTGATATATTGCTAGAAAGTTGCGAGGAATTAACGACGATATCGCGAGGGATAATTGCGACGGAGTAGCGACAAAGTAGCGACGGAACACTACCGACATCGTTGTCCTCCACCGCGAGGGCTTCAAGCCCGATTGCGTCGTGCGGCGGCTCCGAGACACGGACTCGTCAGTGTGATCCGCGTGCGTGAGTTCCATCACGGCATTGTCGCGCCGCGACGGAATATTAAATACAATTAGCGAGGGAATTTAGGTTCTACATTTGCGAGGCAATAGCGAAGAATTAGCGGCACAAATTTGCGACGGACTAGCGAAGCTGGTTGCGAGGGAAAAGCGAAGGAATGTAGCGAGGGAATTGCGAGGGATATGCATCCGTCGCTAATTAGCGACTTGAATTTAGCGAGCGAATTATCCCTCGCAAATCCCTCGCTAGTCCCTCGCTATTCTCTTTAGCGAGGGATTTGCGAGGGATCTTTCCCTCTCTAATCCGCGAAATTCTTGTAGTGTTAGTTGATTCACTACTTCATGAATCTCAACAGAAAGTTTCATTGAAATCTAAATCCATAGTTTGCTAAAATCCCTTTGCAACCAACCTGGCCTTTCTTATTTCTATTGTCCCATCAACTTTGTACTTGTTTATAATGATCCATTTTGAGTCAATGACATTTTCTTGGCCTTGTTACGATACCAAAATCTAAGTGCCATTAGAGATTAAAACCCTACATTTAGAATTCATAACCCATCTACATTCTTATCTATTAAGAGATTCAGGTACTGTCTCTGGACTCTAGTTCCTTTCCTTCCTCTTGTCTTCCAATTTCTCCTACATAAGGTAGTTTTGATTTGTGGATTCTTGACTTACTCCTTGTATATATTTGGTGCATGTTTGAGGGTGGAATTGCATGCATTTCAATTGTCACATCATTTTCTCCAACCACTTCATTAGTGGTGTTTCGAGGTTTTTATTTTACCCATTGACCTAAATAAAGACTCTCCTAGTTCTGCATCAATTTGTTGTTCACGAGCTAATGATGAATTTCCTACTATGCTTTCTGTGGTGCCACTATTTTGGAATTGATCACCATTATGTTGGGTGGAGTTGTTGGACTCTTTTACACTAATTGATTTATGAGCTTTAGATTCATGATTATTTTCATTCCTAGCAAGAACAAAATGATAAAAATAGGAAGATGGTTGAATAAATATTTGTACTGACTTTTTTTGTTAAGGAAACCATCATGGAAAGGGAAATCCTGCTCATTGAATACCACATATCTTGAAATAAAGATCAAGCCATTTGAGTTCATGCACTTGATGAATCCCTTAAACGAGTTGTTATAATTGAGAAAAACACATTTTATAGTGTGATATTGCAACTTATGAAAATTGTAAGGCTTGAGACATGGGTAACATGCACAACCAAAATGCTTTATGTTATTATAATAAGGCTCCTTGTTAAATAATAATGAGTAGGGACTTTTATTTCCCATTATTGGTGTAGGAAATTTATTTATTAGGAACACTAAAGTTGAGAAAGCCTCCCATAAAAAATAAAGTGGAACTTTGACTTGTGCCTATAATGTAAGATGAAGTTTAACAATATGCCTATTTTTTTTGTCCTACCATTTTGTTGTGAAGTGTAAGGACAAGACATTCTCAATTGGAAACTAGGTTCTTGGGCAAATTTTTGTAAGACTTTGAATTCACCTCGACCATCATATTGCACTATCTTAATATTCTTATTAAATTGATTTTTTGTCAATTTTATGAATTGAATAAATGCTTACATAGTTTTAGACTTTCGCTTTAATGGATAAATCCATGTAAATCTACTATAATCATCAATGAGATGTATGCAATACTTAAAAGTAGAACAAGAATTTATTGGTTCAAGGCCCCATATATCTGTATGAATCAACTCAAGGGGCTCTTGAGCATGAGAAAAAGAATATTTAAAAGGTAAAAAATGTGATTTTCCAAATTGACAAGCCTCTCAAAAGGTGAACCAATCATCTTTTAGAACATTGATATTACAACTTCTTAAGACTTGATCCAAAACTTTACTACTAGGATGTCTAAGCCTCTTCTTCCAATTCTCCTTTATTGATAAATATATGCATGAGTCATTACGAGGTTGAGCTTATATTAGAGGATTGGTATAGGCCATCTCTAAGCTTCCCTTCTAGTAGAACCTTCCATACCATCTTGTCCTTCCCAAAATAGTAACTTGCTTTAAAAATCAATTGTGATATTAATTTTAGTAGTAAGCTCAAATACATTTAATAATTTTGAAGTAATCTTGGGCACAAAGAGAAGATCATATAGGTTAAGAAATCCTTGACAAGTTTTTAAAGTTGTAGTACGAGAGGCATGTATATCTAGTCTCTCACCAATACCAATACCTAGAGAACTTTACCATTATGTTCAAAAATTTCCTGGAATTGATCAAGATTGTGTGTGACATGACTACTGGCACCACTATTGAAATACCACTCTAGATCTCTAACTGAGTTTGGCGAGGCAATAAAGGCATTGAAATTATGTCTTTTTCCTTGTCATTTGAAGATTGACCAATGTATGATTTATCAAACCTATAAAAGCATTGGACAATAGTGTGAACGAATTTTCTATACACATGGAATATTGGTTTGTCTCAACATGATCTTCCTTTTCCACTTCTTGCACCTTCGAAATTATTTTCTCTCCAACCTCCACGAGTGTGATTGATTGCCTTGTTGATCAAATCTGGTTGCAACATTTTCTAAAAAGCCAAGAGTCAGATTTGAAAAGGAACAATTGCTCAAGTTTATTTTCAAATTCTAGGATTTGTGCCTTCAAATCCACCTAAGTCAAATCATTCTTTTTTCAAATAATTGGACTATTATAGCCTTGTATATCAAAATCCAAAATAGCTAAAGTTTGAATGATCAAATTAGTGATGGAGATGGGGTTTCCTATGAGTTTGAGATTGTTTGCTAGTGACTTCATCTTTATGAGATACTCCTCCATCTTCATTCGAACCTTGCGAGAGCTACGAAATTCGGTCATTAGTAGTGTGACATGAGAATGTTTATGCGTTCTTGCTAAGCATTGAGCATCTTCCCAAAACTCTTTAAATGTTTCATATAGTAAAAAATAAAATTATTGTTAAATAGTCATCATAATTGAGTTAAATAGTCATCATAATTGTTTTTTTGAAACAGCCAAATAAAATTATATTGTGGCACTAGGGGTGCCATAATCCCATATTTACAAGGTATTGGTTAGGGGTAATTTAGATTAACTAACCAAATTACGTACTAACCAAACAAAATCTTACTATCCCACCTAAAAGTAATTTGACCCAATATTGTAAAGCAAAACAACGAATCCTGAATCCGCCCTTAAGATAAGAGTAGTTAACATTCACTCTCATTTGTTTTCCACCAATTATTTAATGCCCCTGTATAGAACCCTTTTTTCCACTCAACCACTCAGATTATTATTACCTCTTATTTCGTCCCTGGTGTCCCCTTCTAAGTCTTCCCATCATTATCCTTCATCTTCTGTAATGCATACCCTGGTTTTGACTCCCACTACACATAGTTGAATTGAAAATCTTTATCCATTTTCATCCATGACCAAGTTGTAAATTTGATTTTCTGCTCCAATTGTTGTATTTCAATTCCTTGGCCTCTGAAGATATTATTGTTTCTTGTCATCCAAATATTGTAGACAGCTACCATCCACATTATTTTCCATCTTGATGCTTTCTTATTTTTGTAGTTGTGTCTTGGAAGTTGTTCGAAGTGTTGAATTGTAGTTGCTGGTAATACCGTATTAAAATTGGTCCACTTGTAACATAATTTCCAAACCTTATCAACCTTACTATAGTGAAAAAATAAGTGTGTTGTTGTTTCCGTTTCCTCAAGACAGAACCTGCATTTTTCCTCATTCTGAGCTATCTGTATGTTCCTCTTTTTCAAGTTATCTATAGTTGGTAGGCCCTCAAAGTACATTCTCTGTGTTAGTATTTTTGCCTTAGGGGGGATTTTAAGTGACCACAACTCTTTTAGGAAAGGTACCTATTCTGACCCAACTTTCCAAGATAGTAATTCACCAAAGATGGACTTCACAGTATATGCTTGAGTATTCCCTGACAACCATTTCCAGTAGTCTTTTTTATGACTGTCAAATTGTAACCCTTGTAGTCTCCTTTGTAGATCCTCCCACTGCTCAGAGTCGTTCCCTAACCAATTTCTTCTCCACCCGAAATCCCAGTTCCACTCCCTGTCATTCCAATGTCCCATTGAATGTATTCTGGTTTTTTTTAGTAGAATTCAAATAGATTCTAGGATAGATTGCTGCTAATGGTTCCTGGTCCAACCATGGGTCTTCCCAAAATAGAGGCTTTTGACCATCCATAACATTCCATTAGTATAATCTTTCAAACCATTGTTCCTCATTTCCACATACTTTTCTTAAGTCCTTCCACCAGTATGATTGGAAGTTATTATCCTCTCCACTCGTTAGATCCCTCCACCCTCCGTATTTAGATTCTAGTATGTCTCCCCATAGGGTTTTTTCATAGTGGAACATACTCCAACGCCATTCCCCAACAATGGCTTATTAAACAGATTGATATCCTTTATTCCTAGTCCACCTTGTGCGTTTGAACAACATATTTTGTCCCAACTGATCCAAGCAATTTTCTTGTGTTGATTTCCCTCTCCCTACAAAAATTTACGTTGTATCTTCACTATCTTATATGCTCCACCTTCTTGGGTATTTTGAAAAAGGATATGTAAAATAGTGGAAGGGACGAGAGAACGAAGTTGATTAAACAAACTCTCCCAGCAAGGGATAGAAGCTTATTTTTCCAGAGTGCAAGCTTCTTTTCAAATTTAAGTATGATTGGTTTCCACATAGCCTGACGTCTAGGATTGTCACCGATTGGGAGACCAAGGTACTTAAATGGTATATCCATAATTTTGCAATTTAAAACCATGGCCTAACTTGTAAAATCTGACAAGTTTGATCCAATTGCCCCATAATAGCTTTTATGGAAGTTGATTTTGAGACCTGAAACTAGCTCAAAACATCTAAATAAGCTCTTGATAGTTATGACATTATTAGATACAGTTGCTTCCCCAAATAAAATGGTGTCATTTGCAAATTGTAGTAAATTTACCGCCACTCTTTTAGCTCCTACCTCATAACATTTGAACAATTTTTTTTAGACAGCACTTCTCATCATGCCAGCTAAACCTTCTGCCACAGTCACATAAGAAGGGTGATAATGGATCACCTTGTCTTAATCCCCTTTGTGGAGAAAATTCTGAAGTAGGGGAGCCATTGATAAGGACAGAAACTTGACTTGATCTTAGACATCCTTCAATCCAGCTTCTCCATTTGTTGTCAAACCCTAACCACTGTAACATGTATAAGAGAAACCCCCAGTCCATAGAGTCAAATGCCTTTTCATAGTCCATCTTGAATATAAAGCAATTTTTTTCTTCTTTTGTGTGTTGTCTATAACCTCATTTGCTACTACTATGCTATGAAGCATGTTCCTCCCCCCGAGAAAAGCACTTTGGCTCTGGTCTATTATATATGGGAGAACCACTTTCATTCTATTTTCTAGCAGTTTTGCAAGTATTTTGTACAAAGATCCCACCAATGATATTGGTCTGTAATCACGTAGGTTGTTTGGACATGATACTTTAGGAACTAATGCAACAAATGATGAGTTTGAAGTTAGACATGAAACACATAGAAGTGGGCGTTGCATATGTGTGTATGTGTAAGAAGGAATTTTAAACCATTTTCGCAAGAATAATGTTCTTCGTCCAATGCATTTTTAGATACCAGATGGTTATGCAGAAATTGCTTAACACAAGGTCATTGCGTCTAAAAGATTTATCGACTGCTGAAAGAAAATGTTTCATATAACAATAATGATTAAAGTTCTTGCATTTTCCTGTTCAAGATAGTTTCATTTAAAGATAAGCAGCAGATACAACTTTTCAGTGTATCAAATATATATTAAATAAAGTTTGCGTCTACGTCTGAAAAATGATTTCACTAAGAGATTCTAGGTGGACGAAATTTTTCCCAAAGATTTAACCATTAATGAAGATATGCGTATGAGAAATAGGAATTAGCAGTGCAAGTTATTTTATACTGGTTCACTCAGACCGAGCTACTTTCATTTTCCTTCAACTAAAGGATTCCACTAAATATGCAATTGAGTACAAAAGTATTGTCGACCACTTCTGGCCCGTTGACTTCACTCATCAATGCTAGTATTTTCTTATCAGTCTCTTCAAGATAGCATTGAGTATTATCGTCCACTCCTAGACCTGAGTATTCTCGACCACTCCTGGCTTGCCAGCTTCACCCACCAGCACTAGTATTTTCTTATCAGCCTCTTCAGGCTAACAATGAGTATTATAGACCACCCAGGTCACGACCACTCCTGGCCACGAGTATTCTAGACCACCCAGGTCACGGCCACTCCTCGTCATGAGTATTCTCAACCACTCCTGGTTGGCTAGCTTTACTCACCAACTCTAGTATTCTTAAACCACTTCTGGTTCCTCAAGTATTCTCGACCACTCCTGGTCCACCAACTTCACTCACTAGCACAAGTATTTTCTTATCAGCCACTTCTGATTAGCAGTGAGTATTCTTGACCACCTCTTGGCCTGTCGGCTTCACTTGTCGACGCTAGTATATTCTTATCAGCCACTTCTAGGTAGTAGTGTGTATTCTTTGACTAGCCTCTCTAGGCTTTACAAGTATTCACTCCCTAGCCTCTTCAGGCTTTACAGATGATAGACGTATAATCAGGTTTGAGTGTTTGGGTTACTTTCACAGAGAGGATACATATATGATTTACACTCTCTAAGGTTTCACTACCTTAGTCCTACAGAGATTCTAAGTGTGTGGGTTACTCCGTACAAAGAGGATACATAAGATTACAACACTCACTAAGGTCTCCTTCCTAAGATACACTTGGAACACCTTAGACTACAGAGATGAATACAATGATACATTGTAGATTTGTGAAGAATCGATCTCTGATTTCTCTATTTTTCTTTTAGGCTTGATATTAATTTTGATGCTTAATGCTAAAAGCTAAAAGCCCAGGGTAATGCCTATAGTCATTCTTTCGTTGCTCATTGCCCTCTTTTTTTGTTTTGAGGTTATTGCATACTTATAGGCCTATAAAATTTGCCTGTTGCATATGTCGTAGTTGTAATATTTTTCACAACCAAACGTTATAATTTTTCTTACTGGTAAAAGAAGTTGCTTAACATATTCTTTTATTATAATAATTATTACTTTTGTGAAATAATCATAATAATAATTTAATTAATGATGTACTATTGTAAGCATGTGATACCAAGTTAAACCACACATGAGTTAAGATACGGTATGTGTTATGGATGTACTTGGAAAGTTATAGTAGCTAGGTACGTATGCTACGTGATAAAAGACAAGGACAAATGTATAGTCTCTAAATGGTTGAAGAATCCATTTTCCATAATCTCAATGGTTAGGGTATCGCTTGAAGATAGAGATGATCACGTGATCTACTTGATAACTCCGCCACCTACCTCTGTTGAGGTGCCGTTTTCGGGAGATATACTCCTAATCACTCTCCTGACATTATGTTTTTAAGATAATATCGAGGAATGTATGGATTCATGGTCATGCATTTGTTGGGTTTTGGAATCCCTTGTGGAGAACAGACTTTAAATGTGGAAAATAACAATAAAATATAGACAAATGAAAAGAGAGAAAGTTTTCGTTGTTGAATTCGCACATCTATCATGCAACAGTTTTCTATTTGTATCTTGAGATTCATGCACTGTTGAATGAAGCTGATTTTTGGAAAGTATGTTCATAGGACATGGTTATTCGTTTTCAATGATTAGATTGTGGAAAGGAGGTTTGGAGTGCGAGAAGTGCATTTTGTAATAATAACTCTATTTTTAAAAAATTTTCATCTTATTTTTTATTTCTAAACAATTGTATTTAATGTATTCTTTTTGGAAAATATCTTGTACCATTTGTTTATTATAATAGAGATATTTTTTTATCCGAAGGATTCGTAATTTTAACCTTTCCTCCTATTAAAAATATTTTTCTCTTATGCATTTGAACTGTTATTCTTTTATTAAAATGTTATAATGTTAAACTTTCCTATCAACATTAATCATGAGAATTTGGGTCAAACCCTATGATTACCTCTCTATTTTTGTGTGTTAAGACTTCTATATATGTAAATGATAATGTAGGAAATCCTACATTGTCGCAAATGATATAGAAACCACACCACTTCCTTTCTTTTATTTATTTTCCTTGTATATGTCCATGGCATGTTTTTCAAATACATTAATTTTTATTACGAAAGGAATTCATCTCTAGTATGCATCGTAGGATAATCATTGAAATTAAGGTGACCAACTAACTAAGGGACATGTGGATGATGCTAGAGTTGATGAGTGACACTTCTATTAAAGATAACTATTATGATGACAACATTCTTCAAGAAAAGAAGACAACATCAAGGGTGATGTTACATAGAATCTGTACGGGTAGGGGCGTTTAGCCACCCTCTTATCGGTTATCGAGGGACCGAATCAGGTGGCCGATTGCCAATCCGTCACCTGGTTCGGCTTATCTCTATTAGTTATCTTTAATAAACCATTAAAGGTTAATTAGATGATTAAGAAGTATTACCTGATACGATAAGTTTTTACAGGGCCCATAAGGTCCAAGGCCCACGATTGTCAGTATAAATAGCTCAGGTCAAAAGGTAACGTCACTGTTCATTAATTACCCTCCATATTCGTGCTTGTCCTGACTTGAGCGTTGGAGGGCCTTTTGCAGGTACCAACCCTTTCGCTCGCGTATCGGATCGGAGTTCTCGTTCGGCCTTTGGAATACTAGAAGACTTAGTGTGCCCATCAGACAGGTACACATGGCGCCCACCGAGGGGCCGAACGGAGCGTTAGAAGATTAATCGGATTACGTTATGGCGATTACTAGGAGAACAAACACGCAAGATCACTAGCACGAGAGTGAAGAACATGTTGAAGTTGTTGACGAAACGAATCTTTCTGACGCTGTTCGACTGTTGAGACAGGAAATGGAGATCATGAAACAACAACGAGAAAAGGATGCAAGGGAACTTGCGGCCTTGAAAGCTGAAAACGAGGCCTTAAAAAAGGATAACATGTCATGGAGACCCTCTCAAGCGACAAACACTCAAACTCAAGGATCTTATCAGTCCCAGGCAATTCACACCTCGGTTCCCCATGCTTCGGCACCAGCACCTGAAAAATTCCATTCGGCCCTCCCCACAGTTGGTCGTCCTGCAGATGCGGCAACTATCGGATCGCACCGACATCCTTTCACCCCCTCTATTATGCAACTCCCCCTAATGGACAATTGGAAATCTCTGCCTATTGACAAATATGATGGTACAACAGACCCTGACGAACATTTGGATGTTTTCTTGACGCAGGTAACTTTGAGCACCACGGATGATTCAGCGTTGCGTCGGATTTTTCCAACATCCCTCAAGGGCAGGGCCTTAAGTTGGTTCACTCGGCTCCCTCCCAATTCCATCAACTCATTCAACACTTTATCGTCTCAATTTACTATTCAGTTCACTATGAGTCTCCCTCACAGCTTGACGTCTTTGTCGCTGGTTAGCCTTCGGCAAGACAAGAAAGAGTCGCTTCGAGCTTTCATGGATCGGTTCAATAAGGCAACCTTGGATATCCGCGACCTTAACCCCGCTGTAGCGTTGCATCACCTTACAATAGCCTTAAAACTGGGGCCATTTGTTAATAGCATTTGTAAAAAGCCTCCTTTGGGCATGAATGATTTAAGGAGAAGGGCTGATAAGTATATGCAGATGGAGGAGTTGGCGGAGTATCGTAAGCAGGCCCGAGCTGGGTCGTTGAGCAAGGTAGAAAAGCAAGCGGAACAGTCATACAGGGGGAGAAGGAAGGAGATATCCCTTCAGGATCGGCCTACTCGGGGTCCAAAGTATAATCAATATACTCCCCTCAATGCTAGCCGTTCGGCGGTACTTGAACAAGTTTTAACCTTAGAAGTATTGACAATTCCAAAGCGAGCAGCCACACCACCACGTACGGATACTAGTAAATCTTGTCGGTATCATCGTAATCGTGGACATTCTACTGACGAATGTTCAGCCCTTAAAGACAGAATTGAAGATCTGATTAAGCAAGGCAAGTTGCATAATTTTGTGGATCGGACGGGATCGTCGCATACTCGATCATATCAACCTAGGAATCAAGATCGACACAGACAAGACCGTTCCGATAGAGCCCCTCGTGATAGAAGCAGGTCACGATTAAAATTTTTAAAATTTGTGTAGGGCCCGATAGTCCACCTGTTCCTCCATAGTATGATATTGTCCGCTTTGGGCTAGGCCCGCACGGTTTTGTTTCTTGGGCTCCTTCCCAAAAGGCCTCATCCTATATGGAATGGTGGACACCCTTATAAACTAGCCAATGTTCCTTCATTTTACAGATGTGGAACTTGGGATGAATCCCAACAAACCTCCCCTCAGACCAAGGACCACATGTCTCGTGACCTCCTCCCCTCAAGCGATAATCTGCCACCATCTTGTACTGCCGTTAACTCTACGGGACACGCCGCCTGAACACCACAATATCAGGAAGACTTTCGACACAAGGCACCAAGTTCAGATCTCCATCGCGAGGCACAACACTGAGGGTCTTCCCGCATCAAACCCAGCCGAACCGTTGGCTCTGATACCACTTGTTGGGCCCGATAGTCCACTTGTTGCTCCACCATAATATGATATTGTCCGCTTTGGGCTAGGCCCGCACGGTTTTGTTTTTGGGCTCCTTCCCAAAAGGCCTCATTACTTTGGAACGGCCCGTTCTGCTGCTTCAAAAGTAACTTATTTACTTCATTTGGAACGGCCCGTTCCGCTTTTGGAACAGCCCGTTCCGGCGTAAAAAAAATAGAATTTCACAAACAATTTCACAAATAATTAAATTATTAAAAACCTTTACAATATTTTATAAAAATCCCTTTTTAATTAACTAAAACAACTATAATAAAATAATCTTCATCAATATAAAAATAAATAATAATTAATATTGCATTAGTAAAAATTCAGGGTGTTACAATTTTGGTCCTTATAATTTGAATTGCTTAATTTTAGTCCATGAATTTAAATAATGGGCAATTTTAATCCCACAAACAATTTACGTACCATCCAAAATTTAACACATTAGTAATGTGAATTTTATGCTAAATAAATATTAATTATATATTATTTAATTTCTTACGTGTCAAATTATTTAATATTCAAATTTTAAATTCAAATAACATTGAAAACAAAATGAAAAGGGTATTGATATCAATCGTAGTGAGAATTTTTCACTAAATTAGAATTTTTTAAAAAAAATTTACCAAAAAAGCACCTGTACTAATTTATTTATCCAAGTAGCTCCTTTCACTATTCATGTTCAGAATTCGATTCCCAGGGATTCGAATAATGAGCTGTTAATTATTTTTTTTGCATTTTAAATCTGAGCATGGTGTAAAACTGGATCCAGAACGGCCCGTTCTCCTTTCAGAACGCTTCGTTCTCCTTGCAACACTTGCAGAACGGCCCGTTCTCCTTTTAGAACGAGCCGTTCCGGATGTAAAAATACACACATGACAATGGACCAAAACAGGCTATTCTGCTTGGACGTTCCAGTTTCAAAATTAACAGACTACATGTGTAAGCAGAACGACCCGTTCTTCTTGGAGAACGGACCATTCCAGTTGCAACATTAACACGTATAAGAAGGAGAAATATAAAATAAATGAATTTAAAATTTTTAAAATTTGTGTAGGGCCCGATAGTCCACCTGTTCCTCCATAGTATGATATTGTCCGCTTTGGGCTAGGCCCGCACGGTTTTGTTTCTTGGGCTCCTTCCCAAAAGGCCTCATCCTATATGGAATGGTGGACACCCTTATATCAACAGCTAGCAGGTCGGCTTACAGCTTTGTCACGATTCCTTCCGTGTCTAGCTGAAATAACGAAACCAATGGTGGGATTGTTGAGAAAAGCGAAAAAATTTGAATGGTCTGTTGAATGTGAAGAGGCTTTTCGGACTTTAAAGGAGTGTCTCGGGTCACCGCCTATACTCTCTAAGCCTGATCCAGAGTTACCAATTGTGGTCTATTTGTGTGTATCAAACGATACAATAAGTACAGTTCTAGTTCAAGAAAAGGAAGTACAACAACCCATTTACTTCACCAGTCGCATGCTACAAGAGGCTGTGACAAGGTACCAGCTCTTGGAAAAAGTGGCACTGGGACTAGTACACACCGCTCGGCGCCTCCGGCAGTATTTCTAGAGTCACCATATCGTCGTTCGAACTGATTGCCCGATAGCTAAGGTATTGTGTAAACCTGAGTTGGCAGGAAGGATGATGGCTTGGTCTATCGTGGCTGAATATCGCCTCTCCAGGCTCTGCCTCTGTGTTTCTGACGACATTGGCAGTTGCATACCTCCGTTGTTTCTGACGACGGGGTAGCTGAGTATTAGTCGTCGCCTCTCCAGGCTCGTTGCGTACCTCAGTGTTTCTGATCACCTTGGCAGCTTGAGTTTGCCCTCTCCAGGGTCTGCGGTTTGCCCTCCCCAGGGTTGCATACCTCCGTGCTTCTGGTCACTTTGGTAGCGTGAGTTTGCCCTCTCCAGGGTCTGCGGTTTGCCCTCCCCAGGGTTGCGTACCTCCGTGCTTCTGGTCACTTTGGTAGCGTGAGTTTGCCCTCTCCAGGG